TCTTTTTAATGTGTCTCAACTACAGATCGACGTTGACTCATAATCGAGGTTGTAAGCTGTTGTATATCCCGTTATCAACAAACGCAAAAACTATTCATTTTGATTTTTTTAATATTATGGAGGAGCTGAACGAGACCGATGAATTAATTAATTAACCGATTAAAGGGGGGCGATTAATCGGGTTAAAATTTTTAATCCACGGCCAACCCTATTCGCGGCATTGAAAAATAATGTTCCTGTCTTCAAATAAGCAAGAACAACAATTCTATTATAAGAGATATGCGGAGATAAGTACGGCTGATAAGTTGATTGTGTGCACACCGCCAAAGACGCTTACAATGGCGAGGAACGCTCTCAGTGCGACGATGCTCCATGGCGATCCCGGCGCGACTGGTTCGGGACGACCCTTTCGAATCTCCGAAGGTTTGAATGGACAGTAATGGCGATTGCCATGGCAACAGAGACCGATCAGCCAATTGCCTCGCGAGGTTTCGGTCGTCTGTATGTTAGTGTCTGCTCGCGTCCGGCTAGCAGGCAGCGAAGCTATGATGCTACTTTCCCAGGATCCCGTGATTTTGCTCCGAAGCAGCGGTAAGTGTTGTTTGTGAAGCCCCCAAGGTGGTAAATATATATATATATATATATATAAAAAAACACAAAAAAACACGAGAAAGCATGCACGAAGCCAACCTCGCTAGTAAAAGAATAAGTCAATAAAGAGCGGAGCGCGTGTGTTTGCGGACAGCGGCGAAAGGGTTGCAAAATTGAGGTCTAGATAAGCGGCGTTTCCAGGTCACGGCGCGAAACCAAATGCCACCGAAACGCAAAGTGAGCGCGTTTTTAGAAAGCTGGCGGCTGCCAAGGCTGCGCAGCAGAACAACAAAGCGCAAAGGAGAGAGAGAAAGAGCGAGAGAGTCTCTTCTCCAGATCACGTGGTCGCGGCTTCGCGATTTCTCAAAGGGATCGTCGGACTGCGTCTACCTGTCCAGATAAAAGAGCTTTAGGGGAGATATGTTCGTGTGGCGTACCCAGTGCAAACGAGTGAAAGAAGCTTTAAATAAGCAAGAGCAACATATATATCTATGAGGACAGAAACTGAGGGAGAGGAGGAGACGGTAGTGCGCGGTGACGTCAGAACGCCGAGTTCTGATCGGCTCCGATTGGAAGGATAGTGGGTAGACCTCGAGCGCAGTGTGACCTCCAGGCAGCTAGCATTGAGGTCTACCCGCTATGCTTCTAATCGGAGCCAATCAGAGCTCGACGTTTTGACGTTACCGGAAACCTTGCGCAAGAAGAAGACGAACTTACGCTCCGGACTGTGCACCGATGAAGAAATGTTCACCGTTTAATCGGTGACCTTCAATCGATGGTGGAACCGATGCGCAGAATCTTAGCTATGCAGGAAGAGTACGAGTTATAGAGCCATTTCATTCCGTGGACTGGTTTGGTTGGAATAGGATGTATACATTTAGGTGTCAAGGGCTGACGGCACACGTTGACCAGAGAACAGAATGAAAGGCATAAGCCTTTTTACAGACGTGAAGGTGCCAACAATGGTCGGTGACTGGTTAAAGAGTTCAGTCTAGCAGAGCGAACGATGGAGAGGAGGTTGCCGTCTCTCCAGCTTTCGCCCTGCTTAAGTGGAAAAAAAGGTGGGAGTAACTTCCGTCGGTTCCGTATACGAACCACTCCTCTACGAGCACTTCTGGTCAAGGGCAACACGTGAGCCAAAGGCCCTGAGCAGGCAGCTCGCGCCGAGCGGATACGATCTCAGCTACGGCCGCTGTGAATACAGCGTCACCGAATGGATGATAACAACAATGAGGTCTTTCAAATATCCCTCCGGCGGGTGCCTCCTACTTCCGATAATATTTCGGCGTCTCGTGAGCTTCCAACAAACACGTACGCACCCCCCCCCCCCCCCCCAAAAAAAAAAAAAAGCACGACGGAAAGCAGCGGGCGCATGCTGCGCTGCTGGGCATACGAAAGAGACGCCCCGCCGTTTTCATCCTGTCAGTGACGACAGTTACAGATATACAAATAATTAAAATTACTGATCGTAACCAAATAAGCTACAGTCACTAAATGTAGCTAAGCGTAAAGTATCGAGACCCCCATTTGCCGACTTTCTTGCGAACGCCGCCATTTTGGTGCTTAGTGCAGAGCGGGCGCGACTGACCCAGCTCTCAAGAGTCCGTCGAGCAACATTGGCGGTCGCCATTATCTTTTTTAGACTTAGGCTAGGTGCCGCAAGCTACCGCCCGTTACAAAGGGTATGACGCAGGCCTCGTCAGAGCCGTATCTGTAGAGAGTTTGGCCATTCGCTGAGAAGTATAGGAGACAAATGAGGACGCGCCATTGGCTGAAAGCGGGCTGGGCGTGTTCCAGGGCGTCTTCAGAAATTCGAATGTGACCAACCAGAAGCCGGAAATAATACCCTGGTGGTGGTCGCGAGAAACAAACCTGATAACTGCATTAGAGTAACTCTCGATGACTGAAAATATGGTACACGTGATGTTTCAATCACGCTCATCCAAAATGATGGTGGAAGAGTGCGACTAGCGGAACGATCGACATAATCCTTACGCCAAGTGCCGAGGGCCGGGAATATGCCGTCCGGGCGGTCACACTCTGTCCGAGCAAAACAGAGTTGAGCGGCGCATTCGTTTCTTACATTTTTCTGCATGATCATGATCAAAACAACACGTGCACCCTATTTTCAGCCACAAAGAGTTACTATACTTCACTCTTACGCGCTTATTAAAACCATTTACCCCATTTACGAACATAGACCTCTGATCAGAACTGTTTCTCGCTATCACCGCTAGGGGATTCTTTTCGGCTTCTGGTTGGTCAAGAGAGCATGCCAAGCCCTCTCTCCGAGTCTGGTGCACGCCTTGGCGCTGCCCGCGCCTCCCATTGACCAAACTCTCTACATATACGGCTCTGGGCCTCGTGTCCAATACCTTCTCAGAGTGCGTGATCGAGCAATGGCGGACAACTGTTGGCGCGGACTTTTGAAAAGGGTCTCAGGACGATCGTTAAAGGGGTACTCCACCGATTTTTCGAGCTACCTCAACTAACTATATTTTCTGACTCCCCGGCCTTTACTCTCTCCGGTATGTTATTTAGAATCGCGAAATTCATAATAGTTATTGCGAAATCGGCAAATGAAAATGACGCAAAAACCAACATTCAAATATACGCGCGCTTTGCAGGGCCGTGACGTCAGTGGCAGGCAGATTTGCCAGTCGAGCAAGCAGCCAAAAAATAGAATATGCCAATCATTTGTTCCGTGCTGGAGCGCGGGTACTGCAGCGAGCTTCCCAAGCATTCATTTGACACCATGAAACTGCTTCGAATCAGTTTAAAACAAAATCTACAGCCCAAAGAGTGAACCCCTGCCTTCCACTGACGTCACTTTTTCATTGTTGCTAGTAGAGACTTCGAGTTTGAAAAACACGGTGAGGACCAAAACCGTAAATTCAATAACTTCGGGAAAAAACAATATTTTGACCTAATATTTGGGATACTACTTTCGCGATGTTTGTTGGTTAGTTTAGCAAAATTTCAAGCAAATCGGAGACAATGAAAAAATCGGTGGAGTAGCCCTTTAAAGGAGCGATGCAACAATTTTTGTACTTTGCGCAAATACCGCTTAAAACGGATCCCTAACGTTAATGACCTATGTTTTTCACTCACGCAATAGAAGTCCCAGAAAAAAAAATTAAAGAAAAACGAGCAGCGTTCACCCCCTCAACTCGCAGCCAGAACAAGCGGCCACGTGATCTGGAGCCGATTATATGCCGCCAGTGTTGATCATAACCACGCCCTGGGGTTGGCAAAGCGCAGGACACGCGCTGAGTTCCAGACATTGTTATGGCTCGGCTGTTGTCGTCGTTGCAGCGATTGGACACGGGTCACTACCCGAATGCTTCTCGAGCTAGCAATTATCACGAGCCCAAGTCGAGTGCCACGCAATGCTCGGGTCCAATCTATGAACCGCATTCAAATATCGTCACTTGGGTGTACCGCGATCCCCACGTTACGTCATCAAATTTTGCAAAGGAGAGATTGAATGAAAACGATCGCTTTTGTCCTTGAAATTAAACCGCAACAAAGGAGTTTCTTGGCCAGTGGCGTTGCGTGTGAGTATCCTTGAGTGCCAGGTGTTCCAGTAAGCTCGTGTAGAGTGAAAAACATTCCAATTGAATATCGTTGCACAGCTCCTTTAAGGATTCGCAAATGTGACTTCCCGGGCTTGAGATACGTCGTCAGGAAGCTCGGGCGATAGAGTTTTGTCGCGAACCGTTTTAACACTACCGGGGGACAAAAAACTCGCTTCCAGCGATTTCAGATAACGCTTCGGACAACCGGCGACGATAATTTTTAAGGGCGCCAACACGCCTGCGTGTCGTTTGCTTCAGTGCGTCGCTCTAGTGAGAACCGGGCATTATAGTCACCGGAAGAATGAGAACGGCAGGGCGGCTCTACCGAACGTCTTTCCTCGAGTGCGATGACCACCTGCGCGCTTCGGCTACGCGTGAACTGCTCAAGGCCCACAAAACGTCGAAGCGAGGTGTACGAAGCGTGCGCTTGAGGAGGCTGGACACCGAACCTCCTCCCTGCCGTTCTCATGCTGTCGGTGACTGTACAGTGGCTCTACTTGATACGGGCAGACCCGTATTAGCGGCGAGATGTTTTGGTGGCGCCCTCCTATGGTTCCCCCTTGTGACGTCATTACCTTGCGAACAACAAGTTCGATGGTGTTTTTAAATAGCATGGTGGAAGCCTGAAATCATTGCGCTCTCGAAGCAACACTGCCAACACCGTCGAAATTAAAGTTCTTTCATTCCTCTTATTTCCGTCGATGGTATACCCTTTCCGACGTCATATTCAGCTTTTGGGCCAATCGTGGAAGGCCGACCACAGCGACGCTTTCGGTCGCGCACGTCGCCAATAGATCGTAACAAAAAGCACCGATGGCAGTGTACACTCACCTCCACACGCCCGTCCTCCAGAGCACGGCAGAAACTCCAGAGCACACAAACTCCTTGACGGGAACGAGCCACGAAGAGGACCTCGCGTAGTCGACCATCTTTCGGCGAAAGCGTACGTGCCGTCCGCTGCCCCTCGACTAAAGGTCGACCGGGCCATCAATAGGGACTCGCCACACCAGAGACTTCCCGCTTCCTCCAAGACACGTCCAGCGACGTGACTAGTCAACAACGCCCACGAAGCGAACAACGCTCATCGCGTGTATACACCCTCTTTAGGAGCGCGTTTTGACGCGCTCGTAACTGTCGCGAGGTTTCTTTTGTTTGTTCGTGAGTTGCAGAGGCGATCTCCGAGTCGTCGCGTTGTCATCCCAGTCGCTTCGGAAGCCCCGTGAAGCTAGCTTTCCGTCGGTGACGTCAGGAGTGACGTAGCGAGCGATGTCGCTACGCCCGGCGCACCTCTGTTGAGTCAAATAAAGTGTCTGTACCGGGAAATTGGCGGGGAGCGGCGGGCTGCTGACTGGATTCGTTTTCCTCCTTGAATCGAAAAGAAACAAAAACGGAAAGCAACTACGTAATGTTGATCACGAAGTGTGGCGACTTAAACGTTAGACTCACGATCTCTACGGCTTATTATGTCGAGGCGACGTAAACACGCCGGGACGCCCATCTGGTTTCGCTCTCACACTATATATAATAAGAGGTTTGAGGGGTGTGCATAAAGTTTGTGTTAATACCACAAAACAAAACAAAATTAAAAAAAAAAGCTGCGATCACGAGCGTTAGTGGTGAAGTTTAGTTCATCACCACGTGCGTATCGCACAGGGTGACTTGCTTCTTCCAACGATTGATGAGCTGGCGGAAAGCCCCTGGTTGTCCTGATTTCGACTCTGAGGAAGCGTTCTACGTCGACAATCACCTCGTCATCGTCCCGGAAACGCTTGCCTCGCAGTAGGTTCTTCGTGAGAGGAAAAGGGCAGACGTCACTGGTGCAAGGGCGGACGAATACAGGGGCAGTGACAGAATTGCATTGCCTAAAGCAGCGGTTAGACGTCTCCGTCGCATTGTGGTGGAGCAAACTTGCTCCTTTGGTCAGCTTCCCGCGATGCTTGGTGGCCTTCCGCAACGTCCAGGCGTATTTCCCTGTGGCTGTTTGGCTCTTGCGTTCCTCATGTGTTCAGGAGCACGTAATTGCAGTCCCGGATGGCCTAATCATCAGCTTCCCCGATGACGACTCCGCCTTCACCTTTGTTTTGCGGCGTTAAATACGCGTTCCTCCACTGTTGACCTTGTTTCTTCGTCACAGGGTTGGGACAGTATACACGCAACATTCATCCGGGGGGTCGGACGATCGAAGAAGTCATCACGTCCGAGAACACTCAAACGCAATTAAATTAGATGTATTTGATATAAATCCAATTTATTCGATTTATGTTAGACTTAATTCGATTTAAATATGTAGCTAGAAAAAAGTGATTTGTTATCGCATGTACTTTTAAACATGGCAGATCGATTGATCAATCCGTTAGATCACTGAAAACGATTCGGAATAGAAGATTACCGTAACATTTGAACTTCTTATGTGCGATTGAATTAACAACTTTTTACAGATATAAGCCTGTCATACTAGAAATAAGAGCTGTATATTTTTTAGTTAGTAAAAAAAAAAACTGTATTTACTTTTGGTTCTGTGTTCTCATCATGCTTGCAATAGGGCATCACTTTTCTTGTTTTGGTTTCTTCCTTTCGCGTTTTGATTTTATTACAATAGGGCATTACCTAACTGACAAACAAAGTGGAATGTAGAAAACAAGCTCAACGCTCTGATTTGCTCAGAAGAGTTGTTCGTGTTCAACCTGCTATAAACTTTTTTTTTTTTTAATTTTTTGGTCTGATGACTTTTTTTTATATTTAAATTCAAAACAGGTGCACAAAGAACGCATCAAAGGATAGACAAAGAGTAGATAAAGAGTATTTTGGGAATGATTTATGCGGGAAAAGTTGGATTTAAATCATCGTAGTAAAACAAGCGTGATTTACATCACTATTTAAATTCATCACGATCTTCATTCTCCACCCTGCCTCAGAGTAACGACACTTCATCCATGATATGAATGGATGGATGGATGTTAGCTGCTGTACTCGTTATAACGGGCGGTAGCTTGCGCCCTCTAGCCTAGAACTCAGTCGGTGCTTCCTGCGGTAGCACATGCGCAGTTCGTACCGGAAGGCCCTTCGTACCGAACCGGATGTGCAAAAACGGTTCTCTAAAACTCTCTACTGTATACACTCCGTGCGACGCGACTGGCGCGCCGCCGCGAGGCCGGTACCGAAGGTAGGCAGTGAGAACCCCAGAGAAAACGAAACCGAAACCACGCCGCGTACGTTGGTACGCATTAAAGTTGGAGCGGTGCGGTTGCGCTGGGTTCACAGCATGAAGTGCTGCCTGTGCTGCGTCATTAAGTGCTCCAATAGTTATGCGTCGTATCTCGGGGGTACAAAGTTTCACAGTTTTCACCTCGCCGATGTTGTGTGGGACAGCGAACACGATGGACCTGTGCCGTACGATGCGAGAAATTTGGTCTCCCGATCATGTCTGCCACTGTGTCGACACGGCGGACATATTCTACACTGCCGCTTTGCGCTCTGCGTTTGTTTTCGTACCAGTAACGCCTACATGTGCCAGCGCCGATGGGACGAACTGAAATGCCATCCCACACTCGCGGGTATGCAGTGCCAATTTCGTTGGAGGAATGCCCTCCAAAGAAGTTTCGTCCCCATCATACGTGTCGATGATATTTCCGGACCAGTATGGCACGCAATCTGTACTTCATAAAGAAAGATTCGAACGGTAAAAAAAAGAAAAAAAGTGACAAATATAAATTAAAAAAAAAAAATGAAACTCGGAATCACTGGATCGACGTTTGAGTATGGAAGTTTATGTGATGTGCTTTCTTCCTTGGTGACCTCCTTTTGGATGTGGAAACGCTGACAACCCAAGTTCTGTAGACAACATTTTTTTCTCGGCTTTAGAGCAACCTATCGCAAAGTGGTTGGAACTGGAAGTACCGTCCACTAGTCCCTTCCTACCTGTAAAGTGTGCACCTTCCACGGTGAGGGCTATTATCTGACAGCCTTTGACGGTCAAAGCCATTTCCCATTTAGTTACGCCGCCCAAACTAAATGCCCACCTGGTTTCGCTACGCCAACTGTTTTTGTTATAATAAGTGTTGTGCCAAGTTACGGTCATGTCAAAGTACCTGTGCGCCGGAAATCAGCGCCACGCACAACAGGTTTATTACACAACAGCTGACCGCAAAAGCCCTTGGCGGCCAAACCGTGTGTTGGCCGACAAGTTTGTTTTCTCGGCTTTGGAACCACCTTACGTAAAGTTGTTTAATTGGAAGTACAGTGCACTAGTCCCTTCCTACCTGTAAAGTCTCCATCTCCCACGACGAGTGGTATTCTCTTGACAGCCCTTTCACGGTCAAAACCGTTTCCCATTCACTTACGCCGCCGAAACCAAATTTCCACCTGGTTTTTCTATGCCACCTTTGTATAATAAGTGCTGTGTCATGTTACTGTCAAGTCCAAGCACCTGTGTGCCCAAATCCGCAATTTGCACAGCCCGCTATAACACAACATTTTGGGTCCAATATTGGATATCCCGTACAGCTTTATTCTTTATTCGTTAGAAACATAACTTTCACACCTGCTGTCTTAATGAAACTTGGCACACTTCGTGCAAAAAGTTTGTGAACATCTAACTCGCCTCCAATATCACCGTTCCAGCAGTCCTAAGACTGCTGTTCCAGCAGTCCAAGACGGCCGCCACCAATTATGGTGGCGGCCGTCTTGCTTTTCGGAAAATTGCTCCAACTCCTTTTTCGGCCGTAACTAAAGAAATTACCCCTAATAACGACTCAAACTCAATATATAAGAAGTGGAGAACAGCTAAATGGCCCTTCTGCCCCAGCACTCATGCAACGTCACCCTCAACGTATCGGCTCAAAAAGCAGAAGTTTCGTCCGTGCGCGCTTCCGCCGCCACAGCTTCGCATGCGAAAAGGCGCCGCAGGCTGCTGAACGCGCCTCACAGTCGAACGCCAGCTCCTCCGCTAGCGGCGCTGCGCGCGTTTTTCAAAGCGCCCCCTATAGTTCCCGCACGGAGTGTATAGCCCGAGCTTTCCGGCACCGTTCACAAAAGCCGAAAAGTCGCCTTTCTCAAATCATAACAATCGCCAAGAGCGCCCGCGTTCTGCACTCAGCACCGAAGTGGCGGCGCCCGAATAAAACATTTGGAAATCAATGAGCTGACGATACTCTAAGCGTAGGTTATTTAATGCCTCTAGTGTGAACCGATACCTTGGTTATTCCCGTTAACGATACGATGTATGCGTAAGAGGCGGCGGCCAAGTATCGGGTAGCGTTATCGGAGTAATCGGAACGATCTACTAAAACTCTCTAATGACGAAAATATTTACAAAAAGAGACTCGCCCCGAGAGTGTTCGCCACGCGACAAAAAAAAAAAAAAAAGGCGGCCCAATTTCGCGCGTGTGAAGAGAAAAAGAGCAGCGCAATTACGAAACATTTTCCTCTTGCTCGTTAGCCCCCTCTACCTTAGTCGGCCCGCTTAGAGCGTTTTGTTTTGATTACACACCATCCGACAATCAACGACATCGACTCCATTTTGCAAACCGGAAGCACTGCAAGTTTTTTCCGCGAACTGTCGCCGCCGCCCGTATACGCCGATACCCTGGAAACCGGTGGCACAGGGACCCCCGTATGCGGTACCGCGTGCTTCGCGTTTACGATTCCTCGGAAAACATCCGCGATGAGAACTAGTCGAGCCGAGCCGGTCCATGCGATACGAAAAGTGTATATACTTCGTATAGATGCGGCGCCTGGAACCTAATGTGTTCACCGTGTCCTCAAAGTGGTCCCTCGATTACCGCCTGATGACGTCATAGACGTTCCACGTCGTCCCCGGCCGCGATCGTGGCGGTGTCACGGCAGCGGCGGTTGATGCGGCGGACGCCTGTTCTTGCGCTAGGATCGCTCTCCAGCCTGACAGGCATCGGAAACTTCAACAGCCAGGAGTTGGCACCCCGCGACGACAGCGACATTCGCGTTCGTTGTGTCGATGCAGAGCCGTATATGTAGAGAGTTCGGGCATTCGTTGGGAAGTATAGGAGACAAATGAGGAGGCGCCATTGGCCGAAAGCGGGCTGGGTGTGTTCCAGGGCGTCTTCAGAAATTCGAATGTGACCAACCAGAAGCCGGAAATAATACCCTGGCGGTGGTCGCGAGAAACAAGCCTGATAACTGCATTAGAATAACTCTCGATGACTGAAAATATGGTACACGTGATGTTTCAATCACGCTCAACCAAAATGATGGTGGAAGAGTGCGACTAGCGGAACGATCGACATAACCCGTACGCCAAGCGCCGAGGGCCGGGAATCTGCCGTCCGAGCGGTCACACTCTGTCCGAGCAAAACAGAGTTGAGCGGCGCATTCGTTTCTTACATATTTCTACATGATCATGATCAAAACAACACGTGCACCCTATTTTCAACCATGAAGAGTTACTACACTTCACTCTTATGCGCTTATTAAAACCATTTACGAACATAGACCTTTGATCAGAACGGTTTCTCGCTACCACCGCTAGAAGATTCTTTTCGGCTTCTGGTTGGTCAAAAGAGCATGCCAAGCCCTCTTTCCGAATCTGGTGCACGCCCTGGCTC